GAGCCCGGATTCAGGATCTTTCAGTCCGTATGCACAGAAATGGAAGTCTCCCCAGGTACAATTCAGATACCATATCTTGGATGTCTGAGGATTTTCTATGATGAAATATCTTCCGTGCTTCAGCTGATATCTCGCAATGGATGCCACAAACTCAACCATGGGAAGATAGCGTTTCCGCTTAATCCAGACTCTTTGTTGGTCTTGTTGGATGTTCGGCATGTTTGACCACTGTCCACAGACCGGTGCCATTAGGATTACATCAGGCGCTTGCTCCCTCATGATCTCCATGACCATGCGTCGTCCCTTGGATGTCATTACGTCGAATCCGGTGCGGATGTCTACGGGAGTCCTAACCTTGAGACCTGAGAGTGCACAGCATTGACTGAATCTGGCACTTCCTGCAAAGATCTCGAGAACGTGGATCTTTCCTTTACGTACACAATTCCAGTGTGCTTGTTCAGGAACGGATGTGAGGTCCTCGACGAACATGTTCTCTGCCGGATGAGGCGCTGCAGGCTTGGGAGTTGTCTTTCCCGCGATACGTGATGGCACTGAGGATTTTGGCTTAGGAGCTAGTGCGGATGACTCCTTGTTCTTGGTATCGGCAGAGGAGCCGGGTTGCTCCTTCTGCAAGGGTTCTCGCTCTTCTGGCAATAGAAGATCAATTCCAGGTTTCCCCATTTCTGACCTTCGTCATGTTAACCTTGATGAGTCGAGTCCCAAGATCAAGTCCTACCATTGCTCCTTCAATGGAAATGATTTTTCCTTTTAGCCATATTCCTCCCTTGCTTCCATCGGAACGGATCTTGGATTTGTCTTCCTGCCAGTAAAATACCTTGTCCTTCACCTGAAGAGGCTTAGAACTCATTCGGAGATTTTGAGCAAGGTCTCGTCGGATGTCTTCGGATTGACGTGCTTCTTGGAACGCTTGCTTGGACAGCTGCTTGATCTGGATGGCTGCCATCTCCTCCTCATTCCTGTCAATCGTCAACTGAGTTGGTGTTGCGACATCAAGTTGGATGAGATCTGCTGGTCGTCTTCCGAAAGCGAGCTCTAATGGTGTTACACCCCCGTAGGCGACAGTCTGGTTCCTGACAGTTGCAGCTGCCTTCACCAGCTGTCTATATGTCACTTTCTTCAGTGTGGCAGGTGCTGCGCCTGCCTTGATGGAACTGAGCATGATCTTGAGTTGCGCCTTCAGGAGTCGAACTGCAGCTTCAGCTCAATTTGGCCGTGGTGTGTTCGGTCCCAATGATATCGGTGTGATGTCAAGGGATTGATAGAAATGTTCCCATGTCTCCGTCATGAAGGCTTGATCTGCGACGACTGATTTGGGCTGCAAATGGTACTAGTCAAAATAGTTCCTGAGGACAGTGATGTTCTCGATTTCTTGCGTAGTTGTCACTGCAGAGGCAGTGAGCAATGTTGTTGCTCCATCCAGGATGACAAAAACAATGATGTGTTCTCCTGTTCCAAGAGGAACTTGACAGTGATCAATGAATGTCATGTCACCAAGGTGTCCGCTCGAAGTCCACTCGTCTTGCTTCGCGATGGTGCATGTTTTGCCGCTTGGCAAACTTCACATTCACTTCTGATTTTGTCAAATAGATCGAATGTTGATTTCGGCAAATGAAGTGAGCGAATTCTAAATCGAAATTGATCTGTTGTCATGTGGTGATGCTGGAGGTGGAGCTTCTTCAACTCTTCGGGATTTGACAATCGCTTGTGGATTCTGCCTAGTGCAAGCGGAAGCGTTGTTGCTTCTTCTGAGGATGGTGCGAAAGGATCTGGCTCAATGGTCGACCGGCCCTTCTTGTCGATGATCCTGTCTGCTGCCGATCCTGAACCTGCTTCTTCGTCCTTAAGCGAATTGTCCGCGAAGGTGAAAATGGTCTTACCTATCCACAGGTTAATCATTGGTTTGTTTGCCTGGGATGTAAGTCTCCAATTGTCTTCTAGAATGTCTGGATCTCCACCTTCGGATGCATCAATGATTTCCGTAGTACGCTCTCGGCTAATGTTATCAGGATTGATTGGACATTCCTTGGCTCCATTTGGTGTGAACAGTGCCTTTCGAGGCGTGATGCGCACACGGATGAGCTGCTTGTTCTTCTTGTCAAGGATCCAATGGTCCTGCTTCTGAGACCCAATGATTTTAGGAGTTGCTAGGTCCTCCTTCGTCTCGGATGATTTTGCTGCACAAACAGTTTCACTCTTGGTGATATCCCCGGAGGGAAACTTGATGCTGTTGTCATAATCGTAGACGTAGTTGGTGAGGCCCTTATGAGCAATTTCTCCATGTGCCTTCACTCTTGCAACTCCAGCGCCAGCGAGATCGACGAGCGCATGTCCTGTGCCGGATACTGGAACTGCTTGACGGTTCATGCCAAAAGCCTTACATGTGATCTTGTCACATTGAGGTGTGTGCTCGATGGTCATGTAGAGGTTCCGCATCTGACTAGTGCTGAGAAGGATCGGTACAGTTCCTTGTTCAAGGACGTCGATGTTGGTACTGCATGGAGGAGTTGTGTGATATCGAAGATGCAGGGTCCAATTTACCCTGGCGGTCTCTCCGTTTGCAAAAGTGAACTTGGTCTCGGCCGGGATGTCCTGATAAAAGATGATGTCCGACATGGGTTCGATGGCCTGAGTAAAACGCTGGATTGCATGCCAGCTGCTCATGGATCTGGTACATCCGTTGTCCAGGATCGCATAAGGGTTGATGACAGGCGCCATCAGCTTTGTTGGATCAGCTTCCCGTGGATGGCCTCTTTCTCATGATGCTCATATGCGTCATGGAATGCCATTAGCGCTTGTCCTGTGCTGGATGTCTCATGCCTTGTTCGTTCCATGTCCATGATTGATCCCAATCTTGGTCTGTCCAACCGGCATAGGTAGGCTCTGTGGATGGCGCAGTCTGCTGGATGGCGGGCTGCTCCTCCGTCTTCTCTGCGATGGCTGCGAACGTCTTGGATTTTCCTTTGTCATGTCCGCCTTTTCCTTTGCCATTGTTTCCATCATAGGGATATTGGAATTTGATTTTCCTTTCTTCCCCTTCTTTCCTTTGCCTTTTCCCCAATACGCCTGGTCGTAGGGATCATAGTTCTCATTGGCCATATTGGCCTTCCCGCCAGAACCGCTTTTTTCTGAAGGGTTTAAAGCCATCTCGTTGCTGACTGCCTTTTTTGTTTCCTGATTTTCCTTTTCCTTTTCTCTTCTTAAATCTGAAATTCCGCCCTGACACTTTTCTTGCTATGAACGCATCGTTCTCCTCAAGGACCCAGAATGTCTCTTCATCGTTGTTTGACATGAATCCTTCAAGTCCTTCTTCTTCTCCTTCGTATTCACGTCGTTCGATGATGAAGAATGTGTTGCTTCGGTTGCCTCCTTGAGGTCGGATGGATGGATCTTGAATGGATGTCCTGGTCGTGATGAAGAGTTCATGGTAGTGCGTCTTCAGCATCTCATAGGAGTAATTATCTAGTGAAATGTTTCTCAATGGCATTGCACTTGTCAGTCTTTCTCTCTGCTGATCTGACAATTCACTTTGTGTGATGAAAAACTGCGCAACGAGATTATCCCCGAAGGGAAATGCGTCCCGCTGTCTGTCCTGCATTCCCGTGATATACTGTCTGAGGACTGTTGGATCATCCTCATTGAGCAGGACTGGAGGCGGTGCTCGAACACCGGCTGCTTGCCGATGTCGAGCAGTTGTTCTTGCATTTGCGTCCTGCACGGACTGTCGAAATGATGGGGGCTGTGTCGTGGAAACTGGCATCAAGTCCATGCATGCTGCCTTCAATCTCATGAGAAGGATTTTGAGTTTTGGTGTAAAAATGAGGAACTCTTGGTTCTGCCTTCTATGATTGAAGAAACTGAGGAGCCTGTACAGATACACGTTCGTCGCACCTGTCAAACAGTACTTTATCAGCGTGTTCTTGAAGTAGTTGACTCCTTCATCAGGATCTTGCAAAAGGGAGGACTGCCTTGTACATATAGGCATCTCCTGTGAGTCTGCTTTTGAGCAGAGTTCTTTTTTGGGTGCTTCCACCGTAGTGATTGTCTCCCAGTCGTCCACGAGTTCTTCATACCTAAACCAGCTGACTTTTACGATGGCGGCTGCTTGGCGGTCATCGATAAATTGAGTGTTTCCTCCGTATAGCCTGTTGGTTTGGCCATACTTGAATAGGCTTCCATGAAGCCTTCTCCATCGGATGACATTTTCCCTTGCATCTCTGCGGAAAACCCGCTCCGCTACCACAAAGTGAGGCCCACTGCCGGGGTGCCTATCCCAGAACAGAACTGGTACCCTGTGTTAGTAGAGGTCGTTGATTTGGTCCTGGATCTGTTCCGGAGAGAGTCCAATATGCCAGTATGGAGGATTGGAGGATGGATTGTCCCTGGTAGCTTGTGTTGACTCGGAATCCTGTCAAGCGGTCTGCAAGCCTTTTATCACTGTACCATGTGTCGAATGACTGTACAAATGACGAAAAGGGCCTTGAGCCAAAAATGAGTAACGGTGGAAAGGTCAATTGGTGTAACCAAAAGCAACACAGGGGGGGCGGGGGGCGCGGGGCGGGGGGCGGGGGCGGCGGGGGGCGAGGGGGGGGGGCGGGGGGCGGGGCCGCGGGGGGCCGGGGGGGCGGGTCCGGGCCCCGCCCCCCGCCGCCCGCCCGCCCCGCCCGCCTGGCCCCGCGACCGCGCCACGCGCCCGCACGCGCCCCGCCGCCGCCGCCCACCCGCCCGCCCGCCCGCCTGCCCGCTCGCCCGCACGCACGCACGCACGCGCGCACGCTGCATGAACATCTTTCTTCAAAGCTGGCTGACCATCTACAAGTGTGCGCGGAGCAGCGCACGCCTGCGCGTGTGGAAAAACAAGAACGCTGTATGCTACGAAGGTCAAAATGCGTCTCTCCAAAATCACTGTTGCTCTTCAAGCCAGCGCTGCAACGCATGTCGTTGGAATAGACGCAGCGCTGTGTTGGGTGTCTCAGTTCGCTGCAACTGGCGCTGTCTCTGCTCGTGGTCGTCCCTTGCAGCGCAGGGGGTCAAATCGGGACAAACTATGCTGACTAGGTGGGTTCATCCAGCTACTGGTCGGCTCTTCTCCTATCTTGCATCGTCAATGAGCACTTGCAAAGGTTAAGCCCACGACAACTCCTGGTCCACCAGCTCGCCCGATAGGAGAAGTCACGTGGGCAGCTCGCGCAGACACCTGGAAGCCAAGCCTCTGACTTTTGCAAAGGCTGGCTCTTCTGGCCATTATACAGATGCCTGGGCTGGCATAGCTGGGGAATGGACCGCTGGGCTACCAAAAGCCACTGATGGCACGGGTCCTCTCGCATTGTTGTTGATGCAACTATTGGAAAGCAAGCTGAGGACACTGCGAGGTCGTGCAAGAGGTCGACTGCTCTGCCCCTGACACGAGAAGGCACGGTCCAAGCTGCCGTTCATACCGGTTGCTGGGCTGCTGGCTGGAGAGGGCGACCGGCTTGGCTGCAATCCCTCAATGGGAATGCTTCACACACCCGAAGCGCTCTGCCTTTAACAAAAACATCCAGGCCTCGCCCTCCTGATCGCAAACATGGCAGTGCCACATTGCCGCATTTGTTCTTCATGTACACTGGAGAGACTTGGGGCAAGCGTAAGCCCAGCGCCCGCGCTCTGCCAACTGGCCTTTCACGTGAACCCTGTCAGCCTCAGCCTGGTAATGCCTCAAGCTTGTTGGCCAGCCTTGTGGTCTGCGCGATTCCCTGCAAACGAATTTGTTTTACATGTGGCCACTCCTTGGCGACCCCACCCTGCAATGGCCTGCAACGCACGGCGAGAGCGGCTCAGTGGCGACCTCGGCTTTCGGCTTGGCAGACGCAGCACTGCCAACATCAAGCCTGAGGGTAACGCGCAGTCACCCTTGCAGAGCTGGAGTTCTGCTTGGTCACGCCTTCCAGGCGCACCAGGTTCATGAAACGCAGCTAGTGACCGAGTCAGAGCACCAGTCTATGTGATTAGATGTGTATGCACATATGTGTAGATATGTGTATATATATACACATTGCATGTCTCGTATGCCTAGATAACAAACTCCCGGATCGCCAAGAACTCAATATTTCAACTATTGCTCAAATTATTTATGTTAAGAAAGCATGTCGGCCAAGTCTGTGAATGACCTCTGGTCCATTGGAAAACACACGTTGGTTTGCCAAACATTTGCGTACAAAGTACGGGCGTAGCCAGATTGCAATCACGGCGAACCTTCTCAATTTCCCACCGCTTAAAAGAAGAGCTGTCCGTCATCAACAGCAAAAGTCAGATCTTCAAAAGTTTCGGAACGACTCAAGTTGCTCGTGTCATGTCAATGTGCATGGCAGTCGTTCAACGCAAGCCTTCAGCATAGCCTAGCTGGATTGTATTCGTGTTGAGCCACGTGGGCATCGGCCTCAGTACGTGACCTTTCAGTCGACGGGTGAGCATAAGCGTCAACAGGTATCATGTTGACACGCGACTCAAGATGATCAATGCCCGTTCCCTCGAGCATGGACCAGATTTGACGGCAAACTTGCGGAGCTTCTATTGTCACATTGCAGCGCTCAACCATCCGTCACGCAAAACGGCTTAGCCAAAGCAAAAGAAGAATAGAGTACCTATTTTCTTACCCGTGAGGAGGTAGAACATGCTGACCAAAAAGACAGAATGCAGGCACGTCTTCGCATTGGCTTGTTATGTTGTCATTTGCTAGGAACCTTTTGCTTCAAAAGGCCGAAAACATTGCAAAACTTCATGTTTTAAGATGTTTTGGTTTCAGCATTGAGTTTTGCAGGACTAGGTGCAATTTGGTCAATCAGGGGCAGCGGCCGCTATTGCAACCACAACAATAACTTGAGAATGGAAAACATGAAAGGTAGGAAACCGTGAAGAGGGCAATCCAGGCAACATCCACGCCAAGCAATCCAGGCAAAAGCAATCAAGGCGAAATCCGCGGCAAGCAATCGAGGCAAAATCCGCAGCAAGCAATCGAGGCAAAACCCGCAGCAATCGAAGCAAAATCCTCGGCAACCTATCGAGGCAACATCTGCGGCAAGCAATCGAGGCACAATCCGCGGCAAGCAATCGACGCAAAATCTGCGGCAAGCAATCGAGGCAAATACTGTGGCAAGCAATCCAGGCAATATCTGCGGCAAGCAATCCAAGCAAAACCCGCGGCAAGCAATCGAGGCAAAATCCGCAGGAAGCAATCTAGGCAAAACTGCGGCACACAATCCAGGCAAAACCTGCGGCAAGCACTCCAAGCAACATCTATGGCGTGGCAAGCAATCCAGGCAAAATCTGCGGCAAGCAATCGAAGGAAAATCTGCGGAAAGCACTCCAAGCAACATCTGCGGGAAAGCAATCCAGGCAAAACCTGCGGCAAGCAATCCAGGTAAGGTCCGCGGCAGGCAATCGAAGCAAAAACTGCGGCAAGCAATCCTGGCAAAATCTGCGGCAAGCAATCGAGGCAAAATCTGCGGCAAGCAATCGAGGCAAAAAATATGCGGCAAGCAATGGAGTCAAAATCCACAGCAAGCAGTCGAGGCAAAGTCTGCGGCAAGCAATCGAGGTCAAATCTGCACCAAGCAATCCAAGCAAAATCCGTGGCAAGCATTCCAGGCAATATCTGCACAACCTTTCCGTCCAATATTCCAGGATTAATGAGCAAGAGCTAACGGTTAACCAGCTTACAAGAAATGGATGGAGAAATAGAAAGCTTCTTCTACATTTCAAGGATTATTCACTTTGGGACAGTTGGTGAGGGTGAGTGAAGGAAGGAGTAAAGAAAGGGATGAGATAGTGAAAGACAGTAGGATTCATCTGTTTCCCTTGGATTTCATGTTCTATTTCTCTTTGTCTCCAATCCATGTAGTACCAATCTGTTCCAAAGGTTAAACCCCTATGCGTAAAGACCCAACGGATAAACTGGAAAGAAGGTAAGGGATGATATCTTCAAGAGCTACAAGGAACTTTCGTCCACCTTTTCCTTCTTCACCTTTGATTAAGCTCTTTTTTTGGCAGACTTAGGAATCCTGAAAATTGAAAAGGAAACCGAAATATAGATTATGCTTGTCATCAAGCAATCCAAACAAAATCTGCATCAGGTAAACCAGGCAAAATCTGCGGCAAGCAATCAAGGCAAAATCTGTGGCAAGCAATCGAGGCAAAATCCAGGCAAAACCTGCGGCAAGCAATTGAAAGAAAATCAGCGGCAAGCAATCGAGGCAAAATCTGCGGCAAGCAATCGATGCAAAGTCTGCAAAATCTGCGGCAAACAATCCAGGCATTATATATCTGCCAAGCAATCCAGGCAAGATCCGTGGCAAGCTGTCGAAGCAAAATCTGCATCAAGCAACCCAGGCAAAATCCGTGGCAAGCAATCGAGGCAAAATCTGCATCAAGCAACCCAGGCAAAATCTGCGGCAAAATCGGAGAGAGGAGAGAAGCGTGGACCAGAGGCGAGTCGACGAAGGGGCAGGGGGGGGTTCGGGCCGGCCCCTAGCCTTGCTAACGCAAGGACAAACTCATGCTAGCCTTCTTGAGGCTACCTTTCGTGATCAATGGAGGGGCACGCCAGCCTCCAGCACAGGTGTTGGCTGAACGAGAAGAAACCTGCGTGTATTGCGCGTATAAGCACCAATGAGAAGGACAAGATATGCACAAACTTCCCCTCAGAGGATCCAATGCCGGCGAGAGGCTGTCGATACAGCTGGTGTCCAGGCCTGCCCAACATGTCCTGCATCACCAAAATCTGCCATGTGCCAGAGGAATGGAAAAGGCAACCCACTCCTGCTGTCGAAACTGGACATGGATATGCCTTCATGCCACTAGCAATCCGGTTCGTACCGATGGTAGCATGCTGATTGCTGAGATCCCCACCATCGAGTGATCCTCCTGACAACTCTCTGCACAGCTGGTTCACTTGCTTCTGATGGCGGGAAAGGGGCAACGAGGGGGACAAAGGTGTTGGAAGATGCATAAAAAAGCACTGCCTGGTTGTTCAGGCGTCGCAACAGCCTGGCCCGGTTCATATGCCAATTCACGCTGCTCTGGAGCACACAGGATCCATCATTGTGCATCATCCCTATGAAAGACTGCTTTCTTTGACATTGACGGCGCAATCAAGTTTGCCAGCAACGCCATTCTTGTCTGTCTAACTGCTGCACCGTGGCTTCCACCTAAGTCGAGGATTACAAAATCGGAAAGTATCCGATGCAGGCATGAGAGCCCACGCACACGCACGCGTGGTGTGTGTGTGTGTGTCGCTTGGATCTAAGGACAGGCAGCATGAGAAGCCCTTTCGTTCGGAAGCGAAAGCCTTTCAATTTTCAGACCCAATTTGGCTGTCAGCCTAGTCCTCCAGCTCAAACTTGATTCACAAAGGCAAGGACAAAGTGTGTGGCCACCACAAGCATTGTGGAATGTGGTGCGCCTGGTCAGAGACGGTGGAATAGGTGTAAAATGCGGAGAGCCAGCAGTGTAAGGCTTCATAGCACTCATTGACCTAGAAGCACGGGAGCTGTCCAAAAGAATACGCAGAAGCAAAATTGCATGCTGAAAAGCTCCGTGGAAAGCATGTGCTCCTTGCAAGCTTGCCGAGCCTCCTTCTCTCTCACTCGCCGGAACTGCGATCCTGACCTTGCTGCATTGCTTTTGCACGTCCGAACAGTCCGAAGCTGCTGAGCTAGCAGCGTCAGAAAGGGCGCCAGCTTCTTTGCCTACTCGGGTCTGAAAAACAAAATCTGAGGCATGGCTACATTGTCTCGGAGGTCTTCCGGCTCACAATTAAGTTCAAAGTTTGCCTCTCAAGTTCCAGTCTGAGAGCGCCTCTTCTGAAGAGAAGGTTGCCGTGCTGCAAAGTTTTGACGTGAAACTGGCAACAGGCCAAGGACCGTTCTGGCATAAAGCGCAGTATGTCTCGACAAAAAGGAACCGTTCTGTCGTCGCCTGTGCGGATCCCGGAATATTTTACGTGCTCCACTAAGAAGGGCTTCAGCAGTCAGCGTCGAGACCTGTCTGGCTGAAGCGAGAATGTCCTGTTCAAAATATAATGCTTTCATGCCTAGTTTTACAGGCGGAGTAGTGGATGGAGGACGGAGGAAGTGTTAAGACATACATACTACACGCAATGAGCTGCCATACCCAAAGCAAGTGAGTGAAGTCGCTCAGTGACTTGTAGTCACCGATCGTGGCCAAACTGCTGTTGTCAGCGGCTTTGATCAAAAACGTGTATCGCAGCCATGCGTTTGAGCACATTGTTGGTCAGCGAGTATCGGCTTAGCAAGCACAGACTATTACAGATTCCTGGAAAGTAGCTGGCGGGGATTTTCTGCGGCAAGAACTCCGGATCGGCACGCCCACTGGATCTAGGCCGCATAACAAAACAAAACAAAGCAAATGTAAAGGGAAAACTGCAAGGGAAATTACGGTCATGTAAATGAGAATGGTTCCCATCTCCAAATATTAATCTAAGATTAAATGGGGCAAATACTTCCGAGCCTTGCATGTGATGGCGGAGCTTCAACCTTTAGATTCCACAGCCCGGGAAACCGAGTTCGGCAGATTTCAGGGGTCCGACACGGATACAGCGCGAGGAAGGGCGCATCTCAACCCAAATCATTGGGGGGGGGGGGGGGCGTGCGTCTGGCAGCGAATGTTTAGGACTATTCGTTTTGCATCGAAGTGGTTGACGCGCACCAATCACCCGGTTTCACCAGCTGCAACAGCCGGAATCAACTCATCTGCTGCAGGCGGACTCTTGCCCCGGCCCCAACACCAATGAGATCCAAGAGCTCACGCACCATACACGTGGCCTGCTGTCAGGCCAGGCTTGGGGGCTGGCTCTGGTTCGCAGTTTCTGTCGAAGTTGATGCTCTACACTAGCGGCCATGGCGGGGGGGGTGCACAAGCAAGTTGGCTGGCCATCAAGCCTACACCTTGCCCAGTCCCCGCTTCATCTGCGGCGGGCGCTGGCTTTCCTTTCGAGTGCCATGTTGTAGCATGAAGTGCGCCTCTGCCAAAAGCAGGATTGATGCTTCGGTCCAAGTCCGAAAAGACGCAAGCAAGCAAAGCCAATAAAGATCGTAGGGGAACAGATCGTATTATGACCCCGAAATAAACCAACACAATCCTACAACATGCTACACTATGCTTCAACACGTTCCAGTGTGCTCCTGCCAGCTACCAAATAGATCTTTTACCACTCCGGCATGCACCGTTGCTGATCATGTGAGCTTGCGCTTGTCCATTCTAGCATTGTGGAATCTCAGCACTCCGATGTGTTGCATCATAATTCATGTAATACTTATTATGAGCGCATGCATGCGTGTGCGCTTTAAAAATTAAGGGCACACAAACAACATGCGCAACTCTCTTCAAGCTGCAGTGTCGTGTCGTGCTGAATTGCCAGGAGTCCCAGCCTCCATTTTGAAGACTGCAAAGAGGCATTGGATCAGTCGCACAATGGATTCCTGCATGTTGCTTGTTCAAATGCGCAATGGATGACTCTGTAAAATCCAGAGGGCTCACAGTGGGCAAACGTCCTGCACCTGCAAAGCAAGGCCTGGCATACAAGCAGGTCATACACTTGTAGGCTGGCAAAAGGCTGTCAGCTAGGCGCCATGCCTGGCTCGCGAAAGTGCTTCTCCAAATAAGAGCGAAGCTGAAACCTTTTGCGGTGGTTCCAAAGATACATCCCTGCAAAGGCTGAGGAGCGAGCACTGCATGCGGTGACAGCCGTCGAAGCTGCGCTTCCGCTCTGGACAGCTGCGACTTCAGCTCCTTTCGTTCAAGCTCGAGGAAAAAACAAAAAGAATGGCAAGATTTTACGTGAAACAGACCAAGGCACATCGCCACCTTGCAGCCTTGCTTTCCCGACTCTTTGTCTCTCTCGCTCTCTGCACTTGCAGCTGGACTTGCCGGTGAGACTACTTTGTACAGTAGGTCCAGTTGTGCCTTGCTCCTTGTTTTCCGCTCCCCCACCCATAAGAATATTGGCCATGCTATTGGGTGAAACACTCCCGTTTGGGACGCAAGAATTCCCATCACCTAGTCATGGTAAAGGCTTCCTGTGCACGAACAAATCAAGACCATTCAGGTCAAATGCATCTCTGCCTTCTTCACAACTCACTGGATGCAGTGGAAGTGCTCTTCGAGTCTGACCTTGCACTTGACTTTCATGCTTGATAACATATGAGGCAATGACATGTTTTATGCAGTTGCTCAACATTCATGCCGAGTCAAGCGCCGTTTTGCCAGGGTGGGATCATGCCCGGTAAGATGTCGGACCTCACACGCAATATAATGAGTGACCAAAATGCTCCAAGGTGGTAAGAAATCTTGGACACTGGCCGTGTTGTGCACAAATTCTTCTGTCATTGCTGCAATTGTTGCCACCTCTCTCGCATTGTAAAGGCTTCTCAGCAACAGCTTGCCACGGTGAGCTTGCATTTGGCATACAGCTAACGGAGCTGAACATCGCGCCTCTCGCTCAATGAGCCCAAACTTGTTGTCCAGCTTGTCCAGCCGATTTGCCAGAGTTCCAATATTGACCTGCAGGACCCGACAAAATGACATGCCGCAATGCAAATACGCAGCATACATTGGAGTGCTGTGAATGGTGAGACATTGTCTGCTTGCCTTGCTCTCTGCTTCTTTCGCCCATCCATGCAGACAACTCCATGATGCTGCTGCTTGTCTCAAGGCCTGATACTGCCTTGTTTACATTGGACGCTTTTGCCCATAACCCTATACTCATATGAAGTATTTATTTCTCTTTATGGCCCTCTCAAGAAACCAAGCATCCTCCAGAGAATGTGAAGGGCATAGGCTCCTAGTCTAGTATCCAACATTTTTCCTTAAAGCAGGAGCGTGCAAGGGTCATACAACCTTTCAGGCCGAAACATGTTGATGCCTTGCTTGGAGAGTCAAACTTGGCAAAAACATCAACAATTCCAGTTTGCTTGTGAGCAAAACTGGTGACAACTTCTCAAAAGGGCAAAACACACTATTGCTTGAGCAAATGAATCCTCTATAGTACGGTCGTCTTCACCTGAATGAGGGTGAAAGTCAGGGAGGTGAACAAATGAGATAAATAAACTCAATCGTATGCTCAATCTGACTGAACCCGAAGGTCGCAAGAATGGTTAGCCAAGCTAAGGTCTTGTGGGAAGCTAAGACCAGCGTGCAACTTTGTATTTTCTATTGACTAATAGTTCTCATGGTAGCCCTTGCAGTTGTACAGGGTTTCTTTGGGAATGCTCCACAAAAGCCTGCAGTGGTTTCAGGGAATTCTCCACGTGAAGAGTACAAATGCATAGAAGGCCTCCTTCGCAGTTTTGGAGGCCAGCTTGTTTCAAGAAGCAAGCCACGGGCTCGCCTAGGTACATGTTTTGTTGTGTACCCGTTTGTTTGCATGGCAGACCAACGCCGCTTTATGCATGCTACAAATTGGCGGGGAGGGGGAATCCTGCAACTTCGCAAGCTCAGATTGCTGATGTTTACGGTAGTTTCAAGCATACGTCAATCATTATGATTTCAACATGATATCTAATAAAGCCTTTGATCATTTACATGGACATCCTATCTGCAAGGTTGGATTCAATCTACACTGATCTATGGTAGATTTTGGAGCATTTCAAGATTCAAGATGTCCCAGAAAAGTGTTCGTTAGGACCTCTGATAAGCCAGATCAAATCTGGATAAATCTAGGTTTTGGAGAGATCTTGAATCTTGACCCCTCCAAATCTAGACTATTTAGATTATTTGGGGAGCCACAGCCTGTCCAAGGTTGCCAAAATTGTGAGCAAACACAAAGTCTTCCCAGAATGCTCAAACATACCCTAAATACCGGTATGGTTGGCCTAGAGCTTGGTCAAATGACAGAACGCCACGCCTCGACCTGAGCAATGTCGCGGCGTTTTCCACCACCTACCAGCCTCAGCAGGAATGATCCTCTTGCCAGGTTCCGCATGCGCTGACTTGCTTCGAATTAAGGCTGCCACTCGCGGCATGCATTCTCCTTGCAACTGAATGCCATCCGTGTATACATTGAACTCATTGAACTGCGATGCAAACATGTTCTGCGTGAACCGCATTGGCTGCAAAGCAGCGGGAACTAAGGCATGGTCAAATCGCAACAGCTCAATCTTTCCGGAGCGATCCACGTCCAGCAGCGTAAAGACATGCTCCACCTGCCCAGTTCTTCAATTGCAACATTCCAATCTTGGGGCAGTGAGCACCTCCTCAAACTGCAAACCAATGGACTCAAACTTCTTCTGCACGATCACCTTACCGGCAGCATTTGCCTGACATTCTGCCTGTTCTGCGCCTCTCGTTTTAGCCAGGCCGCGAAACAGAATTGTTAGCAACAATCTCAAGTACGCAAGCGCAGAAGCGCCCAAGCGTGCAAGGGCGCAAACACACAAGGACGCAAACGTGCTAAGCGCCACACAAACGCGTAAGCGCAAAAGCGCAAAAGCATGCAAGCGCACAAACGAGTACTCGCACAGGCGTGCAAGCGCGTAACCGCACAAGCGTACACAGGCACGCGCGCGCACACAAGTGCCGGCGCACCACGGAAGCGGTGACGCGCGCGCGCACAAACTCTCAAGGGGCTGTGTCAGTCAGTCAAGTCGAGTGGGTGACAGCTTGAGTCGCACACCTGGAGTTTCGACAAGAAAATGCAGGTCGAGTTGAAGACACAAGTGCGCCAAGACCCACGCAAACACATGGCCGCGCAACTACGCCATCACGCAACACGCGCAAAAACACGCGCATACAGACACACTTAAACTCCAGATGGAGGGTGCTAATCTTTCGAGTACAACTGATGAGTCTCGAGTACAACTGATGAGTCTCGAGTGGGTGTAGGTTCGGCTTGCATTCACTTGGTTTCCGTCTAGCAGCGAACACGTTACCCGAAAGAACAAGAAGCACAAACAGCGCCGCAACCAAGGGGGCCAAATAGACATTTGCAAAACTGGTGCAGGTACACATCAAGGCGTCCCTTGATGCATCCAGTCATCCTCGATAGCTTCGTTGGCGTGGCTACGAGGAGACCGCCACGCCCCCTGCTACTCATAGTGGTGACAGGGCATTCTGTCACTCCGCACACACACACGCCCCTCAGTGAGGGGCGAGAAGTCTCTTTTTCAGCAGGAAGATCACATGCTCAACTTTGTGTCCCTATCGTTGACCAAAATATCCACCGCGGCGAGGGGAACGCGAAACTGCCCTAAGCCGCTCAGAAGACGGGAACGAAAGGTCACCACGATGAGCATTACGAGTGTCGCCATAGAAGACTGGAGGGAATTGCAAAGCAGTCGAGCGATCACCGTCAGAAATAGGGGGAGCATAGGTGAACATTTCCTCGACTCGGATTGCATCGGAATTCTGCACATCAACAAGTGATTGATCACGGGCATGATGTGTAGAGAAGGACTCCCTGCGAGACAAAATGCGTTGGTATCCTTGATGCTGCCAGTCGCGAATGGTCCACGCCTGACTGTGTTCACCAGTCCCACCACTGGGATCAGTTGCCCGCTTCCACTCCCGAGGTACGGTTTCTCCTGGTTGCCATAGCTGAGGCTGTCCCGGAGTATAGATCCGCACCCACTCCTGATCCTGCCAGACCGAGTATTCGAGCCATGGGTAATGCTTTGCATCCTCGATGTCCATGCCGAAGTGAGAGACAGGGAGTACCGCGGGTTCAGATCCAGCTAGTAAAGAAACAGTCACCATGCACAACCATGCACAATCAGCAACCAAGCAAGGCAGCACAAGCATGAAAATCACCCTTTTGTGCCATGCCCAACACGCATCAGTCTAGTCATCATTTAGCTCGAAGATAGGCTTCACCTTCCCGGTGGAGCTGCATGATGGGGTCGTAGGTCGGTATGGATCAGAGACCCCAATAGACTCTGGTGGTGCAACGCACGTACTGGTTGGTGCTGTTGGGATGCATGACGCGCGCGATCCGACAGTTGTTGAGAGATCCCATCCTGAAGACGAGTCAGATCCTCAGTGGAGAAAGCCGCCGCATCCGAGGATCTAAGAATCACATCCAACATTTGCGGTGACATACACAATGCCGAGGATTGCGTGGCCACGTTATGTTCATCAGGAAAAGACATCGAGTCGAAGTCATGACCAGCTTGAGGGGCAGCGACTCGCCGATAGCCCTCTGTGGCCCAGTCTCTTTTGTACCAAATGCAATCATTGGGCTGCGCACCGTCTTGATCAGGATTTGGGACATAGAACTCCTTCCACTCTCTGTGTGTGTGAGGCGGAGGTGGAGCATCATGTTCGTCCTGTGGAGTCCATGATCCCGGATGAAAAATCTTGACCCACTGGGCATCTGGCTGTTGAGGATCCGGACACCACTCCAGCCACGGCATGACAACTCAAACCCTTGATGACAGATTGAGAGGTGTACGGCTGCAGACAGCTGTTACTACATGTGACACAACATCAGACATGCAAGCAAACACTTTTGTAGCAAGGCGCGGCTCAGGTGTCGAAGTCACTCGCCCCAATCAAGTTGAATTGAATGTCCAGAAAAGACGAGGACGAGCATCAGCCACCATCTGAGTTCGAGGGTGCCGACGAAGAGGACAGTCCAGCGTACATGAGGTCTGGTGATCCCGAAGCGAAAACTGGACGTGCAATGTTGGGGTGCGGATGGCCGAGCCGTTGATATCCTCTGGTGACCCAGTCACGATACTGCCATGTATAGAAGGACGCATATGAGACCGGCTGGGAAACTGAGCGTCCCTAGGCCA